TGAACTTTTTGGGTGGGTGGGGACTCTATAGAAGAAAGTGTTAGTTAGCAAATATAATAGCTGGAGAAAAGGGGCGTTGCTTCCCAAGAAATTTCTTCTTCTTCCATGGCGTTCGAGGCCGACGGTAGGTTCAGTGATCGGCGATCTCCGCCGACTCCGGCGGAGTTCAAGGGCTCTCCGGGATCGATTCTGCACACACTATTGGCGCTAGTGCTATGGCTCGGTTCCGTCCATTTCAACTTCGTCGTCGTCCTTCTCTCCTTCATTCTGCTTCCTCTGCAGAAAGCACTAGGGTTCGTATTCGCTTCCTTCTCAATGTGTGTGTGTGTGTGTGTGTGTCGTAATTCAATTTATTTTTTGAAAATCTGAATTTGCTGTTCGGTTTCAGAGTAATCGGATTGCTTCTGATATTTATGGTGATTCCAATTGATGACCGGAGCAAATGGGGTCGGAAGTTGTCTAGGTTAGCTTTACGCCATTAATTGTTCTATTATTGTAAAATTGGTCTTAGTATTTCCAATTAATTTTTCATCGAATTGTGTTCGTGCTGTTAAAATTACAGTGTTAACTGATTGATTTGATCAGGTATATATGTAAGCATGCGGTTGGGTATTTCCCGGTGAGTTTGTATGTGGAAGACATCAAAGCCTTTGATCCTAATGAGGCTTATGGTAAAGCTAGTTTTTTCTTCTGAAAATCTCTCTCTGATTTTTTTATACTTGCTGCTGCTTGGAACTCTGAATATGATCCCGATTCTCTACTTTATCGTACCAGTCTTATAATATTAGTGATATGTTATGTTTTCAGAAGAAAGTTGATTACTTCTAATTTTTTTAACGATGGCAATCTTAAGAAGCCTACCATGGAGTATTTCACTTTTCATGCATTTGTAATGTTAATAGCAGTGCAATAAGATGCGAAAGATCTGTTGCATGCACCTCAGCATAATGAATCATATTCTAATTACCCTTGAGGACGAAATTCTTCGGCATTCGTGATTTGCATGGATTAATTCTGCCGACTGGCAACCATATCTCAAGTTCTAAACAGTATGGTGTAATATCTTGCATTTAGTTATTTGAATAGCACAGTAATAATGTTGCATCAGCTTATCATGCGCAAATTGTTTTCAATAGTCAGTGGTATTCACATTTGTCCTGCACCCCTTGGGTTTGCTTAAAGAAGCGTCATTAGCATCAAAACGAGTCTTATACTTTAGTTGATAAAGATCAAGCGAGGGTTCAGATGAAAATAATTTGGGTGCTGAGTATTAAAATATCATACCTTCGACAACATGATTGGGTGTTTAAAAAATAAAAAGAGTTTGCCTTACAGTTTAGCTAATGAATCAAGTTCTTAGAAGGGGACAAGGTAAATCATCAATGGTCAAAATTGCGGTCTCTCATCTGTATGGAGTGGGGCAGACCGCGTAAAAATTAGGCTCGATGTATTCTGTTCATATGTATATGTTCAAAGGGTAAATTCGTCCTTCAGATTGTCATAGTTACCGTTGCCACATTACCACGTGAAATATTGTTTTCATTTTGGCATACTGCTCTACATATGGATCAATTATTGCTGATACCATCTCGTAGAAACTTAGTCAGTTGCAGTTGAGGGTTTGAGTGAAGACTAATAATGTGTGATGTTTATCATCGGTGTTTGGAAGCTGCTCGTCAACCCTCTTATCAATAGCCTTCTCCTTGTTGATTCTTTTTGTGGCATTAAGTTCATCCCCCGTCTAGACTTCTGTGATCTCTCTATTCTAAGTTCCACTTCCAGGATTTCTGTGTTAGGTTCGAACTTTATCTGGTTACTGATGGTGGTTTTATTTGCTGTTTTTGGTTGCCGATGTTACATATTAGATCCAGATGATTATAGATGACACGAGAAGAATGAAGAGGAGAACCGAAGTAATTTGGATGGAAAAAAGTTATAGTAAAACTTATTTCCTTTATCATTCCCATCTAAATTATAGTCCAGGTGATAACTTTGGATTCCATAATTAGAAACATAAAACAATCATTGGCATATATAACAACCAAGGTCCTTGAGCTGCTTCTTTCAGTGGATAAACCGGGTCCTTTCTACGCTGGTAGATACTGTTGCAACTGCTGTTGCTTGAGTAGGAGGTTGGGCCAATTGTCTTTTATACCATTAGGTATTCCTTAAGTGCATGATTCTTGAGTTTTGAAACTCCTTCTGTTTTTAGTATAGATTTGCCTGCAGAAGCTCCTTGAACACTGCTGCATGCAATCTTTTGCATATGTAGATGTGAAATTCATATGTTGGAAATGCAAGAGTCCAAGTAGGCTCTCATAAGTAGCTTCATTTTTGGTGTCAATTTTTTTTTTTTTTTTTGTTTAGTAGCAATGAGGTGCATAAAGCTCATGCAGATTTTGGATTCAAAATTCAAGGAAGGTGATTAGGTTACATAGGACATGCAAGATTCCAAGTTGAACTCCGTACACAGTTTAATTTGATGTCTTAATTTTTTTAGCTAATTGGTTCAAATAAATGCCTGCATGGATTTGCCCAGAGGATTTTGTGTTGTCTTCGTTTTTGTTGTCATTGTATCATATCCAAAATAGTCACGACCCCAATAATTCTGTTTCTCAATGACAGTTATTGGAAGTATTTAGTCTAAGGACAGGGCCAGAACTTTCTTTCTGTGTCAATGGATCACTAATGACAAGTCCCAAACCTTACTTGCAAGCTGTATCACAAATAACATAGACCTCAAAACTTCTATTTGTTTAGTATAATTCCGATTTAGCATAAAAGTCACTTTATAGTTTGCTTTCATGATACTTTCAAAGCGGGTTTTTGCTACTACCAGTCGATACCATGTTTTTCTTCTTTAATGTGGAAATTTTAGATGATAGTTCCTTTCTTACAGAAATTTTGGACCTTGATCCTTTCAGTTTTTGGTTACGAACCGCATTCAGTTTGGCCTATAGGAGTTGTCGCACTTGCTGACCTTACCGGTTTCATGCCTCTCCCGAAAATCAAGGTTCTTGCAAGTACTGCTGTAAGAATCTTACTCTTAAATATATATATCACAAACTCATAATATTGACATGCCATGACGACTACATGTGATTATGAAGAACATTTGATCAGGTGTTCTACACTCCATTCATGAGGCATGTATGGTCGTGGTTGGGACTTTCACCTGCCACAAGAAACAATTTCAGTTCTCTTCTCTCGTCTGGTTGCAGCTGCATCATAGTGCCAGGTGGCGTTCAAGAGGCCTTTTATATGGAGCATGGCTCTGAGGTTTATCCCTTGAACTCATTAAAGTTCTTCTTATGCTTTTTTTCCGCTTTTTATTTGAACTTGTGCTTATTAAAGTTCGTCTGAGTGTTACTGTCCAGAACCCTATTCATAATTGAAAAGGAAAATGGACACAAAAGAAAAAAGAAACAGAAAAAAGGGCATAGGTGAAATATTTGTATGGGATGGTATCACATCTAAGTAGATAGTGAGCGAGTGGAAGATAAGTGGCTCCTTTTTCATCATCCCTTTTGCAATGTTCTACTCGCTAATTTTTCTACTTCTTCATACACAGATTGCCTTTATTCAGAAAAGAAAAGGATTTGTGCGTATTGCTATGCAGAAGGGCAATCCTCTGGTTCCCGTTTTTTGTTTCGGTCAGGTATAATCAGTTTTCGTTCTTCCTTGGATTGTTTTTTTCTACGAAAAAGTATCCATACATATAAGCAGGAGTAGCCCAGTAATCACTTGATGACTCGTGTAATATATTTGTATATGAAACATATCTACTATGTAAAAGTGCAATGCTTTCTCGATGGAGTCCAATATTACTTACTTTTACATAATATATTTGTATACCTCTCTGTTATTAAATGTTACAAACAGTATCTTTCATTTCATAACTGTTTTCGGCTCTTTCAAACAGCAAAACGAATACCTGTTGTCTGATTATGTCAAATTATTCTGCAGTCCGACGTATACAAGTGGTGGAAGCCTAGCTGGAAACTCTACAGGGATTTCTCGAGAGCTATAAAATTCGCACCAATTATTTTCTGGGGTGTTCTAGGGTATGTCGTACTGAATTATGAATATCGGCGACCCTCAATTATTTTGCCTTTTTACTTCCATAACGACTTTTTTATTTAATGAGGAAATAAAATATTTTATTATGTGGTAATGAGTGCTCGTTTATACAACTGTCCATTTTTATGGTTCTTTTGCAGTTCACCTCTACCTTTTAGGAATCCCCTGCACGTGGTAGTTGGTCGACCGTTTGTGGTAAATAAAAATCCACAACCGACTGTGGAAGAGGTACTCTGTATACACCTTTTACTTTGAATTTACGCTCACAAATTCATTTGAACAAACTTTAAAATGCTACTATGTTGGTTCGTCTTGTGTGTTTCTAATAGAGGACAGCCGATAAGTCTTACATTCATTAGTCTTGTGCATTAGTGGTAGAAATAAATGGTAACCGATAAGATTCTACTGGATCTGTCGGAAGATTCTTCTTCCAAGGCTAACAACTAATATGAATCATATCGCTAATATATATTATATGTATAAATAGTGTTTATAGTACCTGGGGAATTTTGTTATTTAGTTGCAAGAATCTGGGATTTATGCGTTGGTTGCTAGCTGTATTTCTAAGGTTGATATGGGTTTCGTGCAATAACTTGGAGGGAAAATAGAGAACGCATTATGACATGTATACGAGAGTCATTCCGTTTTTCATAATTGTTTGTTTGTCTGAAATTGTTGAATTCTCATCTCGTTTTGTTTTTGTCTTATGTGGAAATTGATTAAGGTTGACGAAGTCCATGCCCAGTTTGTCGAAGCGCTTAAAGATCTGTTTGAAAGGCACAAAGCCAGAGTTGGCTGTGCTGAATTAAAGTTGAGGATTCTCTAGTTACCACTTACCACCACACCTTGTATCAGTAGTAATTCCTTCTTGTTGTATATTTGATATATTTATTTATTAGGGTAAACTATTGAGTTAATAGCAAAACACCCCTTGTACTTTTTCTAATTACCAAAAACGTCATTATCTTTTATTTTATTTTATGAACTTCTCTTTTGCTATGTATGTTGCTATGTTTTTTATTTCCTTGGACTTGCTCACAAACAGTGAGCTCCAAAGGTATTGTTCATCTTCTCTAGTAAGACCTTGGTGTAAATATCCGGAAACTCGTCGGATTTTCTGGTCCTCAGTCGTGATTTGTAAAGCTATAGTTACTTGGGTATATTACAAATATAAGTCCATCATAGACTATTTATTCATAAAAGGGTTCAAACAAAAACTCTTTTACAAAAAAATCAGATATTGCCGAAAGGTGTGAAAAAGACTAAAATACGCCATCAGATTTTAATATGCTCTAATTTCCTTATTTTATTCAATTTAACCTTAATTTGACCCCAAATTTCACCCATTATTCAATTTTGACCCATGACTCAATGTTGACTACAATTTCGTTTGTCGCCGCCGTTGACCGTTGGTCTCCGGTGTTGATTTTTTTTTTCTTTAAAATTTTTTTGCCCGTTTAAGCAGTATATTGCTGTGGTTGTCAGTCATATTAACTATATTACTGTTTCACACAGTAATATAGTACTCTCTAACACAGTCATATTAACACAACAAAAATCACAATTGTTGTGTAATAGAGTAATATTAGTATGTTGACCGTTCAACAAAGGCAAACATAATAAAAAGCCAAAATAATTAATATTGATGTGGTTGATAATAATATTACTATCAACCATAGTAATATTACTGTAATGACTGTAATATTACCGTCAACTAAAGTAATATTATTGTGTTTACAGTAATATTACTATAGTAGACATTGATATTATAAGGTTGGGGTTGTCTAGGGTCCGAGAGGGCTGTACTTCTCGGACCGTAAAATATTTAATCTAGTGCGTTCAAAATAATTAAATTTTAATCTCGTCCATTGATTTTCTGTACGGACCTAGTACGACCTAGTACGATACATGAAATTTAAAAATAAAAGTACGATCCAGTAAAAACACATCGTACACATTCGTACACACATTGTACTATACATAAATTACTTAATTAACCTTATAAACTCAAATCAATAAATTAAAATCTTTCATTAAAAAAATGCACAATAATCAAAATCAATTAACACAATTACACGCCAAATAAAATCAAAACCTCCAAATGTTCTTCCCCAAAATCAAAATATATGCCGATCGAGATTAAGAAGAGAAGCCCTAGTTTTTCCGCGCTACTTTAACGAAGAGAACCAAGAAAGTTGGAATTGTTGGGAAATATGGTAAGTGTTCATCGTCTCGTCGCCTCTCTCAATCTTCTCCGATGGCCAATAAACTGGTTTGGATGGGTGGAGGATATATGAACTTCTATGGTTATTCAATGTGCCTCAGGATTCATAAGCTATTAAGGAGCGATATACATTTATATTTCGTTCGTTTTTATTGTGAATTACAGTTGGTCTCTTCAAATCAATACCAGAGAAATCGAAGACTGCCACTTAAAAGGTATCACTGAAATTCTTGTTAAATATTTATTTCTTTTGTTTTTCCGCATTATCTTGCTCTCTCTAATATTCCAGGTGACGAGTTTTCTGTTTTTTGGAATTTTTTTAAATGATAGAGCTGCAAAATTCGTTGTCATGTTAATATCTAGTTTCTTCGTGAAATTCTATTAGATACAGTGAATTAATTGAACTCTAAAAGGGTAAATATTAATTAAAAAATGATTCACAACTCTAAATAGGTGGGTTTTTTTCTCTTTTTTTTTTCGCGTTGATAAAAAAATGAGTTTGTTTCACAGTTTTAGGCTTCTGATTATTTATGCTCGATAAGTTGTGAATTCCGTGAATGATTTAGTGGGTGCTCTGCTCAGAAAATAGTGAAATTGGTGGATTGAACGACTTTTCTGAGTGCTAGTAACAACAAAATTCAGGCTTTTCCTCTCGATGTTAAAGTTCACATATTCCAGTTGAACAGTGAAATTCTACTAAAGAGTGTATGCTACTTTCTAGGTATGCTCCTTGACAGATTATTATATGAAACCTTTCAGGACGTCTATTTGATATCAGACTTTAGTTGTAGAATCCATGAATGATGTTTTAGGGGGCAATAAGATTTATCTCTAATTCTAGAGCACATTTTGCTAATATATCCTTTTGTATTTCAAGAGTGCAGGATTCAGATTGAAGAATCACAGTGATATTACATAGTATGTATATATGTGTGGCGTCTGGTTTAGAGCAGAGCAAAATAAGTAGTTCTTTCATTCATTGATGAAGCTTATTCTTATTATTAAAACATTTGAATAGAAAATCGTAACATAAGGTGATAATGTAGCAGCAAACACGTTCTCGATGACAATCATCAAAGGAGAAAGGTATGGCTTCTTTCACCTTTTCACGAACGAAGCCAAATTACTTGTAAATTGATTCAAAACGAGAGCTAACGATTTGAATTTCATTTCAAAGTGAATTCCATCCAAACAAGCTGAATGTGTTTGTTATTGTGATCTCGTAATAATTAACTTCAAATCTTTTCTTATCAAAATGAAATCCATATGTAATCTTTGCATCAATTATGTTATTTTCTATTATCAATTGTACATGCACTTGATGTCTTCGACTGAGCTACGAGATTATGTGTTGCAGATTTGAATATATAATCTTTGCATCGGTTTGCTTGGCCGAGATAAGAAGTGTTGTGCACGGTGACGAACTGATGATGTAGTGCTCATATCCTTGGAGGACAACTATTCTTGGGTTATGAGCTCTGCTATAGCTTGTAATTTTGGAACCAGAAATTTAAGAATTTTCATGCATTTCTTTTGGATACTGTACTCCCTTGTAGTGGAAGTTTTGGATTCATATCTATATTATTTCATTGATTCGTCGAAAACAGTTAATTTATAATGTAATAGATCTTTTCTGGTTTTGGCTCTTTTTTGTAATGGTTGTAACGACCATTTGTTGCTATTCAGAGGCTACTGTTCTGATGGCAACAAGGTATTTTTGTTCTTTTGCATAATGTGTATCTCTCATATTTTTCTAAAAATATGCAGTTTTTTGTTTGTACCATGAACTTCTTTGGTTAAATTAATTTTAAAAGTATTATTGGATGATGGAGAAATAAAAAACACTATAACCTGTTGAGACCATACTACAACACATCCCCCGGATGGAGAGATGGCCGATGGGGGGTGTTGCTGAAACACACCAGCAACTTTTTATGTATATAAATTGTTTACAGTTTAAGTTAAGCTCGCACTAGCCCACTAATCTTAAACCTTAGAGAAATTGGTCCTATCTCGGAGTTGTAGAAACAAATTGACGAGAAATGAAAATTTGATGAGTTTGTTTAACTTATTTGTATTATTATGCATCTCTACAATTTACCAGCAACAAGTTATTTGATTATTAATGACCAATAAAGTGTTTTAGGTTTGATTAACCTACATGCCTGCAATAATTTGATTAATATTTTTTGTTGATGATACCTCTTGCTAGGCAGATAATTCGGAACAATATGATTCAAATGTGAAATTTCAACCAAAATGAAAGCTGGATTTTAGTGGTAGTAGCATATGATATTTTTGTCCACAATTTACTTGGATGAGAATCATATTTGCCTTTCACTCAGAACGTAGAATAATCAAAACTATGCAGAGCATTAAGAAAGTAAGAAAGTAAAGCCATAGCATGAAAGAATGTTTTTGCACATGAAAGAAACATTCAGCCTATATATCAATAGCAGCTAAATGTTTTCATTTGTTATTATTATTGTCACATTATTCTAATACTCATAATCATCATCTGGAGCTTTCTCTGCAATATCTTTAGGTGAATGTGTCTTGGTGAACCATTAACTTATACCAAGTGAAAAATTGAGTAAAATTTTTGTGGCATATTAAAGAATTCATTTAACAGGAAATATACGCAGCTATTCCAATCTAACATAGATTTGAATATTGTTTTTTCTGCTTGGATCTGTGTAACTAAGGAAGCAACATAAATTCCTGTGTCAATAAGAAAATAAGTATTTTTTTCCTTTTTTCACAGAACCTTCACAATGATGGAATAAAAAAGATTATATGAATCAAGAGAAGAAAACCCAAAAATCTGGAAAAGGGAAGGCTTGATAGAGAAAGCGACGTGATTTAAAAAAAACAATTTAAACGAGAAGAATGTGTTGACAAGTTTCAACCGCATCATGAATTAGATAAACAAACAAAAAATTAAAACCCTACTCCTTAAAAGATCGATGATTTTGTTTTCTTGAGAGGAATGGTGAAGACGATGAACAGATCAAAAACGATTATTGAAGAATAAGATTTTAATATAAATTTAAATTTGTTTATTCGTAGTTAACTTTTAAATTATTAATTATATAATTAAAATTTTAAGTTTAATTAAAAGGGGTTTTATGTAATTTTACTTGTAATCTAGGGGGTTGTACTTTTTTTACTGGGTACGTACTAATCCTACGTGGCACATTCTCATTGGTAGATTACTGTCCGAGAAGTACGGCCCTCTCGGACCCTAGACAACCCCTATAAGGTTAATCGGTCAGCAAATCAAACAAAATAAAAATGCCAAAAATCAACGGCGACGACGGGCGAAATTGTACTCAAAATTGAGTTTTTGGTCAAAATTGAATAATTTGTGAAATTTGGGGTCAAATTGAGGTTAAATTAAATTAAATGATGAAATTGGAGCATATTAAAATGTGAGGGGCTATTTTAGTCTTTTACACACCTCTGAACAATGAGTGGACTTTTTTATAAATATTTTTTTGTTTGGACCCCTTTATGAAAAGGGGAAATATGCAATACACCCTTCAAATAGAAAATATTTCGAACTAAACCCAATTGACTTTTAAAGACTTTTCTTACACCCAAATTGTATTCTTAATTAGTGAGACCTCCCTCTACTACCCTAAACTACTGTAACCCTAATTATTTGCCCACATCTATCACTTTCATCTTCTCCACCTCTCCACCTCCTTCAACTCTCTCCGAAAATTCCAACTTTCATCCACTGCCGTTGCCGCCGCCACCGTCGCTCATTGCC